TATGTTCGGAGTTGTTCGAGCGCATTCTGTTTAGTTTTAGTGTCTGTTCTTTGACATCCGTTAAGTGTTCTTCAAAAAGGCGTCTTTATTATTAATTGGATCGGCAGCAACGTATCTAGATTATTAGTTCGATAAATCATTATGTGCAAGTGCTTGAAAAGTCAATAAGTAAAACACTAAAATATTTTGCCGCCCTAAATTTTCATTTCACATCAACCAATCCCACATCCATGTTTCGAACAAAAAGCTTAAGAGAGCACGGACTGCCCAAACTTCCAATGATAATTAACTGATTGCAGCTTATCTATATGATTTAAGACTACCGACCAAACATGTACAAATCTAAGAAAAGACTTATGACCTTATCTGTTCATCTTCAAATTATGTATGCTAACATAAGATCAAGTTTACGATTTAACAGAAAAGTATAGCTAATGATCTAAGGGTAATGTAGTGCTCTCAAGGCTTACACAACTTACTAATCTACACATTAGATTCCCGAAAAAACAAACCTTGAGAGGATCAAATTTGGGTCATTGTAGATTGTGTAGCACCGGCTGTGGTGGCAATCCCATATATCTAAGGATCTCTCTAGTAACTCAACTTAAATGATATGACTGTATATAACTTTATTGAAATCTCCGCTGTGTCTTATTCGCCGGTCTGATTGATTTTCCATGGGAAAGTAATGCTTGCCATGAATTTCACTATTTACAAAAGTTAACTGTTTCCTAGTTAAATTAATTACAAATTTTCATATAAGTATTATGTATATAGAAGTAATCTAAACAGTGCGATTCTTCCAAGCATTCAATTAGTCACGGTTCGTTATGGATATAATCAGGCATGAAGCGGCGCTCTACTAACCTATAAATTTGTTAAGCGGCACGATAAGCGATTCACACATTCAGCTATTTGTTGTTGGAAAATATATTTAATTAAATGTCTGTTGCACACAATTTTGCTTTCACACTTTTGCGCTTCTTTTGCTTGTTCTTATAAAAACGCCTTGGTTGTGATTACTTCGACATTATTTAATTTTGTTTCTCATGCTTTAAATGATCATCAATCAACTGAATGCGATTCTTGATGCATCTGACCTTATATTTACGAATATTGACTTTTTACTTGGCATTCTTGGTATATTTGAGACAAATGTAAGGGCTTATAACCGGTTCTTTTAGATACTTAACAGTATTTGCACAGTTATTCAGATATGTAGTTAGCACACTAAGATCCAAACCTTTAAAAAATCGTACGAAAAAATACTATCTGAAGCTTAACAGACTCAGAGAAGAATGTTAGAAATATAACTTTAATTATTATTAAATGTTTTTTTAGCACAGATTCTTAACCTTGGATCCTTTAAAATTAATATGTTTGATTTCTTCTTAGAACTTGTACTAACAACTGCCTTAAGTGATCTACCATAGAAGAAAGTATTCATTACTGTCATCACTGTTGCTAGTATTTTTGTAGCAGTATAAAACTATATTCAATAGCTGTATGGACAAGGATTGAATGAAAATGGACTAAATATTGTCGGGTTTAAGAAAATATATTATTCATAGCTATTTTAAATAGCTCATGGGGTCTAACACTTGACAAAACCATATTTTTTGTGCTCCTGGTCATTTCGTGAAGCCGCATAATTGCAAAGTGAGTATGGAACTCCTAAATCCGAATAAAGACTAATTTTTTGATTGGGGAGAATGACTGTATAAAATAAAACAAGGCGAATCGATCAGAACCAAACGATAAAAGAGCTCTAAAATACACGATTGAGGTTATGTTGAGTTATGAACAGCTACTTTATGCTTCAAAATATTCAGATTATAACCCTTCCGTCCAGTTTTCGCTTCAACATTTAAGAAAATTCTTAGTGGTAAGAGATCAAGACGTAATGAATAATCCATTGAAAAAATCTCCAAAAAGCTCAGAAAAAGTTATTATTTTAATTTTATAACGAATATAGAACTAAATTAAGGCTGTTTTTTAGTGTATAGAAATTTAATTTGAAATGAAAATCAAGAACAATGAGTGAAATAGTTAGTATATTATGCACCACAGTAGCGTTTTTTGGAAACTATCTCCTCGGTGCAATGTTGCACCACTTTTTCCAGCATTGCTGGCTATATCTAAGCTATAACATATTCAATGTTGGGTTTCAAATGGCAATTAGTAGCTGCTCTATCGTTAACATGACAAAACTGTTAAATATATAATCTAGTGCAAATCACTTGACCTACACATAGGTAGCTTAACATAGTGACAGGTCATGTCTTGCTATGGTTCGCTACGCAAAAGCTCACTCGAATAAAGTTATGGTTTCATGTGCTCGATGGCACCACCCAACTAGATACATTTTTTTTTCGTAATCAGTTTGAGATCTAGATTGTCTCCTAATAATTTCTCTCACACCACCGAAATGAATTTTATTTACTACGCAGCTATACTTCCGTTATTCCCCCAAAAAAGTGCTTTCAGAGCCGACACACATTTATGTACACCAAACTCTTGCCTTAGTTCAATACTTTTGCATTCTTCACCAATTAGTTATGAATATCAACATATTTACCGAGGAGAGAAAATATTTTTCCTTTGTGCCTCCTTTCGCAGGCAATATTCTGCGCTGCAAAATTAGAGTGTAAAAATGCCTTTGTAACGACTTTTGATGTGACAAAGGAAACTTCTTGACAAAGTATTGTAGCTGCAAGCGGGAGCTTACAGTTTGACGGAAACTCGCAAGCAGCGGATGCCTTCAGTTAGTAGCGCTTAAAGGACAAACTCAGCCAAATACCCCCTTTTTCACAGTGCAAACAAAAAAATGTTGAAAAAATATTGCTATCACCAAAAAAGTTTCGCCATTTATCAAACGCTAGAAAGACGTTAAACTCTACTCTTTCAAGTGACAATCATTAGAGTTGCTTCTGCTTTAACCGGCAGCTTAAAAAGGAATTATGCACAGAAGTGGACGCACAGCCATTTTGTAATTTAGTAGTTTCCAGTTTTTAATTTTATTTCGTTACACCATTTTTGCGCAGCGCCAACTCTATTAGCCGACAGCGAATTTCATTTCATTTCATTCAAACTTTAGCTTCGTCTTCATCTTTATTGTTTTTCATTCATTCATTCGATACGAATTTTTTCCTAAATTACTTCGAAAAACTGTGTGAGTGTATCCCTTCCGCGAACGTGTAAGCGTCTTACAGATTTGCGCTCAGCTGGAATTCAAGACCGGCAGTTTTCTATACCTTTGTCCTACATTTCCTGCTTGCTGCAGCTTCTCTTCAGCGCTTTGTTTGTAAATGAGTTGGGGAATGTCACAAGAATTTTGATGAGCTCGATGATGAAACCACCCACTCAGCGTAGAGGGGAGTATTTTACAAGTAATTATGCAAAGAAAGTTGTTAGAAAGAATCAAGTAAAGTGAAGTTTAGCGCGTAAATTTATGACAAGGACGAACCACATTCCGAGGTATCAGTTTAGCTGCGGGGCGCCTGTGGCGGGTTAAAAGCAGCGGCGGTGATAGGAGCAAGTTTGACGGCGCGGATATGAAGTGGCCAGCTAAGCCAACTTAAGCTATCAGGCAAAAGCAAAAACTTCACGAACAAGATTTTCATTATAAATTAAAAATGGATGAGAGCGGACTATTGTGAGTCAAGTTAACTTAAGACAGGATTAATTATGTGCGCAAAGTAATAGATATGCACTTCGTTAGCTGGAGATAATATTTAAGGATTTCAGCTGAAAGGAGAGAAGGGTAGCAATGACAGACAATACGATAATTTTGCAGAAGTAAACCAGGCGACACGAAATGATGATATCACGAGCTTCGAGGTCTATGAAACCGGAACAGACTCGGTTTTTTATGTGCTCAAAAATGGACAACTGTGTAACATTTATTAAAACTATTTGCGGAATGTTCTACGCCAATGCAATAACAATAAAAACCAAAGCATAGCCAAGACATTTCAGTAGAAAAAGTCTGGCAACTTTACCACCGACAAAAAAATGTGTAGTGAAGTATGTTAGTAAAATCATCTATTAATCCATCAAACACTTCTTTGCTGACAATAAGTCAAAAAAGTAAAACAAGGCTATTAACAGTTTTAGAAAAGCCTTAATTAGAAAAAAAAATTTCGAAGGGTTGCCAGCTATTTACAAATTTTACTTAATAAAATTGCGAAAAAGTTGTAACAATATGTACAACGAGTAAGGATCTTTAAAAATGTTTACAATTTAAAATATTTGTGATAGGAGTTGCCACCTGTTTTTTAACTTAATGATCAAATAAAGTAAATTTTACAACGTGAAAAGCAATATAACAATTATAATTTTTCAGAAATGATTATGATGTGATTTTTTTGAAAAGGTTGCCAGCTGTTTAACAAATTTTACTTAATAAAATTGCGAAAATAAATTAATTATAACAATATGGACAACGCGTTACGATCTTTAAAGAATTTTGCAATTTAGTAACTGTTTGACAAGAGTTGCACCTGTTATTTTTTTCAAGTAATAATAAAATTTAAAAAAATGTACAAGATGAAAAGCAATATAGCCAATTATAATATTTCAGGAATGAATATGATATGACTTTTTGCGAAGGGTTGCCAGCTGTTTATAAATTTTTTTTCATAAAGGATCTTTAAAAAATTTTGCAATTTAATAAATGTTTGACAAGAGTTGACAAACAAGTTGACTGACTGTTTTTTTACAATTAATGACAAAATAAATAAAATTTATAACGTAAAAAGTAAAGTCTCTTATTTATACAATTTTTCTCAAATAACAAAACTTTTTCAAGTTCTCTAAAGGATCTAGTTGAGCTCCTTGATCTAACCGTAAAGTATAGCTTAGTTCACGCAAATATGGGAACCAGTCAATGTAACTATGACGTCATGGAATTATTAATATTCTCGATATAAAAGTTTACATTTTATTTTTTGAAACACCCTGTATTATGCGTCTTTGTTTTAGTCTTTTGTGACTTTTTGTGTTTATTTTTCGTTGCGACTATTCGACGTTTGTTCCGTTTTTTTTCAAATAAAAATATATTCAAAATATTTGAAATGGCTGAAAATAAAACTTTTTGCCCAAAAATTATAAAAATAACTGCATTGGTTCTAGCATTTTTATTGCTAGTCAAAACGTTTCTATGTTTTCTTTTGTCTTTTGCCATACTCGAAGAACCGCCTGAAGACTGGCCCCAAAGGCTAAAAGGTGAAAATTGGTTCTGATTTTCATATATTAATATCATATAAACTTTCTTATGATCTCTACTAGATGACTGTAATCCCAAATGGTACAGTTGGTTCTCGCTAATTCTCAACGCGGTTGGTGTTGTGGTATATTCATATATGTATTTTGGTATTCTTAATGTATTGTACTGGAAATGTAATATTTTAGGCTACAATAATAACACATTTGTCACTTTTTGAACTTTAGACACACAAATTTAACCTCCTGGTAGGTCTTCTTGGAGTAACGGTTTATCTTATAGTTTCCGTACCAGCTCATATCTTGTTGTGGATAAAACATTCAAGGCCTCATACGATGATGACACTAAATTGTGTGGGAACTGGTAAGTTGTAGACAGAATATTTGATTTTAAATTTTTAATTCCAATTTCGGGTTTATAAATAAAAAAATTAAAACTGAAATTATAATTTTAAGCTAATTTTTTGAAGCATGGCAACCTTTAAAATATATGCGAAGTAAACACAACTTTTTATACTCTCTGCTAAAATAGTACAAATAGGTATTTTCATATTGCAGCGGTATCCGTGATTTGCAGCCCATTATCCTACATTCACTACCGCAGAATACTCGCCGACGAGCGTATCGAAGAAATGGAGGAAAGTGAATATTCGGAAAGTAAGAAGAAATGAATAATAATATGTGTAGTAATGTTACAAATAAAGAAAAAATTGATTTTAATATGTTAATGATCGAATGTTGAAGTTCACATAAATACTTTCGAGTACTTCCGAACTATAAGTTACCTTAAGATTCATTAGAGTTATTTTAAGTGTTTTCGAGTTTTTTTTTTTGAGTACTAGAAAGTAGCTATCATTTTATAGAACAGGTTCTGAGATCTTTCGACCCCTATAATTTTTCACCCATATTTCAAAACCATTTAACTTAGTAGTAAAATAGGTTTTATTTTTTTCTTCCGGGAAGTTAGCTCTTTTACTTTCTGATCCTTAAGTTCATATCCCAAACAAAGTTGGTTTTAATTTTTCCGAATGTATTCTATAGTTTTAGTGCAACTTTGTCAGCTCTAATTTGATTTTATATTCTTTAAACAAATATAAACTATATAAGCCTTTAAAGTTTTTAAAACGTGCTCCATTTTTTACTAAATCTTCCAACACTAAGGTTTGATTTAAATTCTCAATACTCTCTTGGCAGTTTTTTGAAAGTGTCGCTAACAGCATACCTTCCCAATACTCCTCTGAGTGGTGGGAAATTTAGAGACCAGTGTCGAAAATTTGCACTAAAGCAACTATTTATAACATAGAGTATGAATAGTAAAATTTTTATTTGAAAATCCAAAATAAACAAAATTAATATGAGGTTCTCTTACTATGACCGAAATTGATTGGGAAAAGACTTGCTTTCTAACAAAAATGAACGGTCCAGCGCTACGCAAATGTTGCCGAACAATATAGAATTGTGAAATCACCCAGATAATCCAAATCTGAAATTAAAAACAAAACTTTTGTAAGAGACTCAAAAAGTCATATTAAGAATTAAGAAAATTCATTACTCAATGGATTCAAAGTACCCTTGCTAGTCTCAACTCATGTAGCTAAATTTAGATGGCATTTTGAAAGCTAAGCACTTTCTTGCTGCTGCTAAAACTAAGTTCTAAATTAAATACAAATGACTAACTCATTAAACTGTTTTCATCCTATAACTTAGAAACCAGCCTTCGATTTTTATACCCTAAACAGGCTATATTAAGTTTGCCACGTAGTTTGTAACACCCAGAAGGAAATGTCGGAGACCCTATAAAATATATACATAAATGATCAGCATGATCAGCTGAGTTGATTTAGCCATGTTCGTCTGTCTTCTGTCTCTATATACAAACTAGTCCCTCAGTTTTTAAGCTATCGATCTGAATTTTTGAACCTGTTGTTTTCTCACTAAGAAACTGCTCATTTGTCAGAACTATAGCATATAGCTGCCATACAGACTGAACAATCGAAATCAAGTGCTTGTATGGGAAACTTTTTTATTTTACGTTATATCTTCACGATATTTGGCATGGATTATTATTTAAGGCAATAATGCAATCTCCAAAGAAATTATATAGATCGGTTGACTATAGCATATAGCTGACATAAATACTTTAACTAAGGCTATCAAGTTGGTAGCGACATAGCGGAGCTTATCTTTCCAATAATGGTCCGGCTATTAGTTTTCCAGCTAACCAGCCGTAATTGGTTTATGAGCGTAGACCACTCACTCAGCGTATTCCTACAATCAGTAGTCTAACGGTGTCAAATTACTGCTCCCATTTACAGAACTATTTCTTGATATGAGGCAGACACCAGAGAAGTATCCTAATAAAGTAGTGGTTTTGATGGCGTTATACGATTCCTTTCCTCATTCTAGTGGAACTACATTTAGCATTTCGAAGATTGACATAGATAGGGAGAGCCAAAGTATTATTAATCTTACCACTGACGGCATACCTCTTTGCTGAAGATATTTTGTGGTAAATGTAAGTTTTCGGTATATTTGGGTACAATACTGAACATAAATGTCAAACACATATGCTTACTTTGACAGCTGCTTTGAAAAATATTCCTCTAGGAAATTTTATACCTCCAAACCTTTACATCACTATACCATATATTAAATTAATACTTAGTCAATAGTTTCGGCATTTCAACCAAATAAAGTGACCAATAATCCATTTCTCACACTTTAATTTGTGTGTTAGTTTTCATCGCTCAAATCGAAATCCCATTAAGTCATGGGATTTTCGTTATGTTGTATGCTTAACAAATTCGGCAATAAGCGTTCGTACGTGACAAGCTTAGCATAGAAAAATCAGTACAGAGGTGTTAGGGTGTTGACTAATTGTATAAGAAAAAAGTTTAAAGCATAACTAATAAACAAAGCCAAGGAGAAGAGCTAAACTTGTTGTGCTAAGTTTGGAAAACAAATAGTGAGAGAGAGAAAAGGATAGCTTTAGTGCCAAATTGATACTTCAGTTATGCACTTCGAAAAATACATTTTGTCATTTTATAAAGCTAATTTTTTTACGCAGAAATGGCGTGAAATTGTCAGAAAGATCATAATTTACCGAAGTCTTTTAGGATTTCGGCACAACTCTGCGAAGAACTTATGTAAATTAAACTGAACAGTGTATATTATTGTACAATAGTTAGCTTCATTAATCATCAGAAGCATAGGGTGATTCAGAGCGAACATAATGTAGTGATAGGATTTTAGCCCCGGTGGTTTCACAATGTGTCTCTTAAAGTCCTAAGTGCATCGTCAGACATCCATTACCTACCTATCTACCAACCTTCTATTTAAAAATACTTTCCGAAAATCAAATACTAAAAACTAACAGATATGCTACGGCTTTGAATATTTCTGAAACAGTTGCCATATGTGTCAAAAATAACAATTGTTTCAATTTGTAAAAAACTAATTAATGTGTATAAGTAATTCAAAAATATTTTTAAAACTTTTAAAACAAAAAATATTTTAACAAGTGTTGCCACTTAGTTCAAAAATTGTCACAAGACAGTCAAAGATGAGGAAGTTATTGAATAAAATTAAATTGCTCTGATTGATTCTATTAAAGAATGTCCCTGTGAAGTGCGGGTATTTTTGAAAGTGTTGCCACCTATTTCAAATATAAAATGTACTCTCATTTTAAAGAAGAAATTAAAGATTAAATGAAGGTTATTGAAAAATTAATTTAAGAGCACTTAAAAAGATAATTTAACCAGACTTACCATATCCTTAAAATAAGAAATTTAACTGTAAAAGAAAAGTGATAATTAAAAAAATATGGTACTGTTAAAGAATGAGGAAGTGTTGTCAGCTGTATAAAATCGACAGCTCGTCACGGAGATCATTTATATATTAATTTGTTTATGGTCTCTGACGTTGCATTTTGCGTGTTACAAACATCGTGACAAACTTAATATACCCTGTTCAGGGTATAAATATATGAGATCAGCGCTTTTGAGTAATATATTTAGAGCACTGAAATCAAAACATAAATTTACCAAAGCCATCAGATTTTCTATTACTATCAAAGCAGTTGTTGAAGTAAAGAAAATACTGCAATGCAAAAAATGTTTTCCTCGATTTAATTACCACCCTAATGTTCAACTTAAACCAACTTGAAACATTGAACCCAGAAACTATGTCAGAATCGTTTGCTGTACGCTCGCAGAAAATCAAACTAAGCTTTGACACAATTGACTCCAAACGCCGACAGGATACGGCAAGTCGACGCAGACGCACACATACATACATACACATGTTTATGAATAGGGAAAATGCGGATAAAAATGGTGCCAGACGAAATCTAGTTCGAAGAGCGCCCACCGCGCAAACGAGGCTATAAACATTGGAAAGCACGAGTAAAGCCACAATGCATACAAAGCCACTCACACATACACACACACACACAACGTAATCCAATTACACGTAACATGCAACCAAATGGGATAGAACTATCGATGGCATCAAATGGGCATGAGATGAGAATGTAGGTGAGTGTGCTTGCTTTGTGGGGAGTTGCATAAGAGCATGCATGTAAGGGGTTTAAAATAGACAAATGTGGCGCTCCAATCATGCATATGCCTTATGTAGTGTGTTTATGTGTGGGATCGTATTTGAGTTTCACGTATTTTGTAGATTTTATCGCTGATGTATGCTGAGTTGGTTCAACCTGAAACCAAAAGCAGTGAGTTTCGGTCTGATCTTAAGTGCAAATTAGAGAATTTACGTAGCATATATTTAATATTAACACAAAAAAATATGAAAGAAAATGGAATTAAAAACTTCCTGTAAATCAGCAAAATTTTGAAAGTGGTTATAACACTTTCATCAAGTATTCATATACTTTCTCTCAGTTAGGTAAATTTAATAACTTTTTTTTTGCCTTCAAATATGCATTATTTTACAAGAGCGCGGAGACGAAATGAGTACAGTTCCAACAGTTAATTAATTTCAAAGTAAGTGAATAAAATAATTTAATTAAAAGTAACTTACTAAACCTTCTCAAAGTTCCGATATGTGCAAAAAAAGTTACTCGAGGTCAAAGGTCAACATTTTTTTTTAGTGATTTTCAGCGAAATCGAAACATAACTTTATTATAGATCATAAAATTATCTGTAAAAAATGTATGCATACTTTTTTTTAAGCCTTAGCTTTTAGAGTTAGACTTAAAATTTATAAGTGTCTTGATTTTCTTTTTTTCAAGAATTTCAATTTTCCAAACTGTTGTGAACTGCTCAGGGACTACCAGTAAAAAAATTACACTTGCAGGAACATCTAATATTTCAATCACACAATGAAAAGTTTGAGAACTATTTTTAAAGCAAAAATATTTTAATCTTTTTCTTTAAACTGCGCTTCTGTCAAACCATCTGACGACACATCAAACACTTGCAATGCCATATGTGCTTACCAATATGTACAAAAGAATCTAGCAGTCAGCTAAAGACTTATATGCTTTGCTTTATCGTGTCTTCACAATTTAATAAAGAATGTCTTACAAGCAGACGTTTGTATGTGTTTCTATGTGAACCGATGTATGCAGCTGTCCTTTACTACAAACTTCGACAAACAGAAGGAAACCAGCAAGCAAACACAGATATACACACAACCACATGACGAAAAAGTTGTTGAAAATCGGCTGCCGAAGGAAGCAAATTACAGCTAACTTTGCTGCTGAAAGCGAAGAAAAAAGCAAAAAGGAGAAAAAAACATATGAGATTGGAGTTGCTGGCTTAATCGAATTACAACAACACACGTACAAAGTAAAAGTT